TCAGCAGTTCTTGCTTTACAAGGCCCACATAAAAACTGAGTTCTGAAGCCTCCTCCTATAGGAACATGCGGAGATGATTCTATCACTCAAATGTTATAGCACTTCTGTATAGGTGGCTCATAAAGCAGTAGTGAGCTACCACGGTTTATAGCCTAGATTCTCACAGTACTGCCAGCAGAGAGTGTTCGCACTCATATGCTACAGACTTAAACAGCTTGTTTAAAATGACACTCATTTCTAAGATGCTAATTGCAAGCCCACACCACTGGATGGTAAACAATCAGAGAAGTGTTCCATTTTATGATGGAAATCTGCATTATAGCAAGGCAAGCCCTAGCAAAGCGGCAGGGATAACATCAGTTAAGACAGCCCTGTACCTCTCAAAATACTTTCTTTTATGAGATTTTTTTAAAGCTTGTTTCGGTTGTCTGTTATTTTTGAAGTCCTTTATATCACTAAGTGATAATGTTACAGCATATATATTGTTGGTATGTTCTGCTTTCTCATGATTTAGCCTCTCAGCTTTGAACTCAGCTGATAAGACTTAAGAAATTCTAGTGGCATGGTCTTCAAAGCACACATCTATTGCAATACAAAGGTATTAACCTTCATGAATTTTAAACGCCTAAGTAACTCAGCAACACAAGTTTTGCTTGTTATCAGAGGTCATTATCAGAAGTCATCGAACAAAAAGAGATCGGCAGCTTTCCTGAGAAAGCTCACTTAAAGGCTTGCCAAAAGCAACCAACTCCTCTGTCTTCCTCTCATGGAACTCAGCTTGCTGAAGAACAGGAAAGAAAAGTCCTAAATTTACTTTTCTTTTAGAAACACAGTCTATTTCTGATTGCATCAGACTGTAGGAGCCTCCATGCTAGCAACGCTTTAAATGGACAATGATACCCTGAAACAGGGAATAAAGGGATTTTTTTTCCCTTCTAAATAAATGCTTACTTCTCTATAACTTAGCTATATAAGTATTGAAAAAAGTATAATAAAAATAAATCTTAGTAAACAAGGGGAAGGGGGAGGATCAAAAATAATTTTCATAAGAGACAAGAGCAGGAACACAACAGAAAAGACAGACAAGTCTGACAAACAGATTAGGTGTCACTTGAACAAATACAAGTACTCAACTCAGAGACACTGAACCAGTAGAACTCACGATATACCTGACTTCTTCAACTCAAATACCAGAAAATCAGATATTCTAGATAAGAATCTCCAGAATACAGGTTCAACAGTCTTCTCTGAAACTGAGGTCTTAAATAGCTTCTAGTTTTCCACCTTTTACATCAAATTTGCATTTGTATGATAAAAATCACATCTGCTGCCAGTTCTACCTTGGCAAACTCAGTGTGCATAACAACATGAATGAAAATCTTGTAATCAATTAAGCCAGTCTAAGATCATAAGCTAATTGTTATTTTAATCTTAATTTCATTCTCAGGTTCTACTGATAACACATCAAATTCCAAGGCACTACAATGGATATATACTGTGTGACTTTCTAAAGATAGCCTGAATTTTTACTAGTGATATTCATACACTTGATGTCAAGAAGAACAGTCGTCAGGCAGTGGAACACCAGGCTACCAACATAAATATCCCCTTCAGTAGCAAAAAGTACTGAAAGGTAGTGAAATACAAGGAATCCAGCAAGGTAGCACGATCTATCCCTGAAGCTTCATTTTGAAGTCAGTTCTAAGATACTTTGCCTGATTAAGTTACATACTTAGAAGTAACATACTGATTTGCTAAAAGACATCAGAGAGTTCAAGTATATTAACAGAAATGCATTCAGAATAATCAAACAAATACTGAGGTAATTTTTTATGAATATGCTCCTTACTGTCATGTACAAACCCTCTAAGACATCAAAATATAGCCCACAAAACCCAGTAATCAGGAATTTATAGATCACTAATAAATTTAAGAGCTGACCAGATACTGCTCCACAGCCTTTAGTCAGAGATGGCTAAGATTTTATGCAGATCTTGCAGGAATTGTTCAGGTTATTTCTACGATCTTTCACTGCCACACCTAAGCAAGTTCCTTTTGCAGGAAGATCATATTTTATGTCAACCATATTTCAGCCCTAGGGAAATACAAAGCACAGAAGCAGGTTAAGAACAAATTTTAACCTTACTGTTTTCACACACAGGTACACCCCGGACCACCTAACCTACCTTTCCAAAGTAGACTATCTTACTCCAGTGTCGCTTGACATTTAGTACATAATCATCCCAGCATTCAAATACATACTGCAAACAAGGCAGGCTTGTATTACATCTACCATATAACAAAAGTGATAGGACTCCATAAAAAAGTAATTCTACTTAACTGATGATTTCCTAACTGATGAGGATTTTGTTTATTCACTAAGTGAATTTGAATTCATTTCCCTCAAATAATTACCTACTTTGTAGAGAACTAAGTCCATATCAAGATATGTGCATCTTTTAAAAAATAAAACTGGTAAGTTTTTCAATAAACATGGACATATTTCTTCTGCAGCACTAAAAATAAAATTAAAAAAATCCACGTGCACTCATCATCTTGCATCATCTTGTTGTTTGCTATAAACTCGTGATAGTGAAATGGAGACTAAGCATGGAGAAAACACAATGCAGTCAAGTTACATCAAACTTGCACTTGGTTTTATTCCTGTGTCCAAGTACCTGAGTTTGGATATTAACCAGTTCCTACATAAAGGCCCATGACAATAAAATCAGACAAGCCTCAATTATTTCCTCATGAATAAAAAGTGAAACTTTTTGACTGTTTCTCTAAATCAAATAATGACTTAGTACTGGATGCACAAAACACTTTAAAAGTTAAATACCTTTGGAATAAAACTTTAAAATTCAGTTATTTAAAAAATATTACATGGAAAAATCTTGAAAGAGTCCCCTTTTTTCTCTGTCTTCAATAATTCAGCCTATTCAAAAACACACTTTGCAAGAGAACTTCTGCAGAAAGGGGGTATTTTGAAAGCCACTATTATAAAAAGTTACTGGGAGATGAGGTCATGTATTTCAGATCCATAAAGATTTTGTGACAATTAGTTGTGATCGTTGTCAGTCAGTGACTCATATCTTGTTCTAGAGTCTTTGTAAGACCATTACTTTTGTTCTCTTCTAGGGAAGAAGCCTTTTTCTTTGTCAAAGTAGCAAATAGCGCATCCATCATTCCCAAAACTTCTAGTAGTTCCTCTTGATAGTCGATCTCTTTTCTTATGGCTTCCTGGAGTCTCAAGAACTGTTTATCAACGAGTGCTGACTGTCCAACCACGGGCTGATAAATGTCTGCAAAGAAACAGGCACTTAATAGTCCAGATATCCATAAAGACATGAATATTATACTGGTTAGTTAGATATACATTTAAGGAGTCTGGCAATAGTCACATGCAGTCGATAAACAAGACAACTTTAATGGTGTTCTAAAAAGTGTTAATCACTGGTATATTCTCACAGTAACAATGCTAAACCAACAGAAACAGAAAATAGAGTAATATAAAATAGTCAAATAATCTTCTTACCATGTCCATGGAGAAGCTCTAGTCACTTGTACCACATAAGTACAATAATACAAAGCATCAGATATGTTTAGTATTGATGAAAAGCTTTCTGCAGTCATCACAAGTCAGACTCAGATATCGAGTGTGCTCAGAGTAAGCAGTGAAAGAATGATCTGGATAAATTCGTACTTATAATCCACACAAGTGTGATTTCTTAAAAAGATAGTAGTCATGCACTGTATTTCCAAGCTAAGCCTTACAGCTTTGAGAGCCTTCTTTTTATTGTACTTACCAGTGATCATATCTGCAACAGTTACGAGTATAGGAGTAAATCTGGGTTCAATCACACGTCTGCGAAAAAAGAACACATCCTAGTTTTACTATTTTTGCCAACTGCCCTCCTCCTTCCACTAACTAGCTGCAAGGAGCTTTCTCATACACAAACAGAGATTTTTTTTGTTTTGTTTTGTTAAAGAAGCCTCACAAAGCAGGAGACTCAGTGCTGCAAGTCTAAAATTTACATGCAGTATTTGCCCTCCTTCTGTTGAGAGGGCAACAAGGTTTGGAGGACAAGCAAAAGTATCTGCACATTCAGGAATGACTTTCATCAAAATAAAGAAAACTGCAGTAATAAATGTAAAATATAAAGCAAAATGACAAGATGAACATTTTTTGTGGCTCTCATTATCAGCGAATGTGCTTTGTGCTAACATATAAGTTATTTCGGATACGCTGGTATCCAAAAGCAAAAGGCACAGGGATTTCAAGAGCACCAAGTGTTTCAACCCATGACCTCTTAAGGCTACACGGCAAAAACTAACAAGAAATACAACCAAAATAACTACTTAGAGAAATATTTTAGGAAAAAAAAAATACCTTGTCACAAAGGTAAGGAGGAGACTAATTTGCTTCTCATCTCGGCCTGCAAGTGCACTCCTTAGTGTCCCTCTGCGATTTAGTTCCTGCATGACTGCAACTGTAACTTCAGGAGTACACAGCCTAATTTGGGGCTGGACATATTAAAGAAAAGTTTAGTATCAACCACCATCTTCATACAAAACAGAACTGATACAAGTTTGCAAATACATAATAATGCACAAGGAACTCAAATAGGTTTGATTCCTTTATAGTTCTGCATTAGAATAAAGTTTGTCTGAGCAAATAAAATTCCATTTAAGATGACAGAACTCAATTTCAGTTAGAAACACAACAGCACCTTACCTCTAGTACCGCATCAAGGGCCTTGGATGATTGAAAGCTCTTCAGCAGCTTGTCATACTTCCTCAAAACACATTTTCTGGGTTTACTGACATAGAAATCCTCCTAGAATTAAGAGAGAAGTTCAGAGCAAGGCAGACGCACACCCAGTCTTGAGAAGAGCTTCAGGATACATTTTTTCCCCCTGCCATACCTGTTTTGGCATGTAATTTCTTCCTTTTATATAAGTTCTATATGCTGGCCTTTTATTTTGAGGCTTCGCTTTACTTTCTTCAGGTTTTCTATGTTTAACATTTAGTACCCCATTGGTCATACCTACAACAATGGTTTCATCTTCAGGCTAAAATGGAGGAATAAATAAATAAATAAATAAATAAATAGAAAATAAGTAATTTTTTAAAATTACAGTTAGTTACCTAATGTCGTTATTTGACACATGCTATACCATGAAGCTTTATTTTTCAATTATTTTTTGCTTCATAATAAAGCTCCAATCACAGGATCACAGAACCATATAAGTCAGAACACACTTCTGGAGTTCCTACATCTAATTTCCTGATCAAAGTACAGCCAACCTCAAAGATGTGGTCCTAAGCAACCTGATCTAATAGATCTCTAATGTTAAGGTTCAAATATCATCATTCTGTTTCAGGTTGCAAATGTCTAGAGTTTATGACAGTTCTTTAAACGGTGTTCAGTTCCCTTCAGCTATTATATGCTATACAGCAAATACGAACATCATTTATAAGAAAGCTAGCATTTTTATAGCAGTTTTGAGAACAAACTGAAAATTGTTCAAAACATCACCCACTGGTATAGGTTCTATCTGTATAGCAAGCTAATATCGTTATCATCTTTAGCATTAATAAATAAGTGATCCACAGGGGTAAAATAGTAATTTCATGTATAAAATAGTATTTTCTGACCTATTACAACTAGTAGATAATTATACAAAAATCATCAGCTTCATGCTCAACAGCTGTTAAGAAAAAGCAAATAAACCATTAGAGGTAACTACAGAAAAAATAAAACAGAGTTCATTATGTCACTGAATAAATCAGTTTTGCCCTCCTAAATTCTAGGAGGATACTATTCTCAGATGACAGCAGCAGACTCAGAATATAATAACAATAATAGAATGCAAGATTGGTTTGATTTGAGGTACAACTAAAGTAGGCAGAACTCTTCAGAAAGAACTCCTGCTTTCCCCAGGGTTCCATTAAGGACAAGGACAATAGTAGTGTAAGAGGGCTGCCATCCCTGGCTCTCCATTTCTGAGGCTAGACAGGAGGGCAACTACAGCACAACAGCAGTGTTTACAAGAAGTGGGGCTGGCCTCCAAGTTTCCTTCCAGAAGGTCATTTATCCACCGGAACTCAAATGGCTTGGAGGAATGAGTGCCTGCTTTCTGTTTCCGAGGCAATGAGACACCTGCTTGGCAGACAAGTTTGTCTCTGATGATTCCCTATGTACTCTTTTCTTCCTCAGACCAACCTAACACTAACTGCTTCTAAAAAAGCTTCATCCCATTCCAGATTTTTCAATCACAAATGAATTACTTGATCTCTTTATAACTGCTGTAAAAGGAAACTCATAAGGTTCCTGAAAAGCAAAAGACCAGTACAACCTTCTTAAAGTCCAAAGGTATAGCTATTCCCTTGTCAGCTCCCTACTTTCCTCAAGATAAATATAGTGATCAACACACACACACACAACTTTTTATTGATCTAACAAGGTAATAACTGGTGCCTTATTAATATTTACATATTTACTATATATTTACTAAGGAGAAATACATTCAGTGATCCTATTTTGTATGCATTCTTCTGAAGCATCTAATTATCTATTTGCCTCTGAAACAAGAAAAACAAAAAGAATCACTGAAGTTACTTAAAAGTTACCAATCATTAGCTTGCCTAGGGAGGTTTCAAATGAACTTACCGACAATGCAAGACTGAGGATTGATGTTGCATAGTTAAAACTGTGAACTACTTTGTAGGAAGTTGTACTATAAATCTTCACATGCCTGTACAGAAAAGTCATTATTAAAAATGTTAGGAATACCTTACTGAAGACAATTTAGAAGAATTTCATCCTTCTAAAGTTTTGTTAGATCAATTTAATGAAACTGAACTGCTAAACATTTTTTTTCACACTATGACTAAACTTACTACTCACTACTGTCTCTGTGACAACAGAAAGATTCTAGTAAAGCACAAAGGAAAGAAAGGAATACCCTCACTTCCCAATGGGGAAGGATAAGAAAAAAAAGGATGATGATGTAGTGACCACCTGAATTTAGCAAAATTTATTAGGAAACATTTGGGCAGTGTGGGGAGGATTAGAGGGATTTCTTTTTTCTTTTTCTTTTTTTTTTTTTTAATGGAAGAACTAGCTACAACTTCTGGAATCAAAAATATTCTTGCCTTCTGTTGCTCTTTAATGATTTGGCTGAAGGTGAGAAATAAACAGAAAAATAAAACAGCACTTTACAAAAAGTATGAACTTATTAGCATTACAAGCATTGAATGATAAATAGGTACAAAGCTAGTGATCCTCAGCTTACACTTTCTGAACATAATGTTTGAGCAAGCCTAGAAAGTACTGGAGGAAGGAATGCAGAGAATAAACCAGTCATTTCAGGTATTTCTTATGTCCTGGAAACAAGCTGAGTAACTGTAGTCAGCAAAAGGGGGTGAGTGGAGGAGCTGAGGAATATCCTGTAACGAGGCCATTTTTGAATTGTGCACCTTGGATACATCCCTTCCACTAGAGTCAGTTTGGGTGACAGGGAGCAACTAAGCAGATATATAAAAATAAGGTCTTTCACTTTACTGAGACTGCAAGGGTCTATTTGTAGATGCAGGAAAACAAATACTGACTAAGTGCCACAAACCTGCAATCCCCACTGATATTCAGGCTAATAAGGGGAAAAGGTATGTGTATGTTGCAACATGGACCCAGGCCCAAGACATGTTTCCAGATAAATTATATCCCTACCTGTTAAAAACACCTCAGCTCAAATCACCTGTACATTTTCATCCTCAAATTTTATCTTTAAGGACAACAAAAGAAACCCTGAGGAATTTAAGTCACTTTGAAGTCATAAAATTTACTAACCTGTCCAGAGATCCTGACAGCAACCTTTGTCCAGAGCTGTTCAAGCATAAACAAGTAACAGTTTTATGGTGATTTTTAAGTGAAACTAGTAATTGTCCACCTTTTAGTATATCCCAAACTTTGACATATCGACCTCCTATGAGAAAGAAGCACACAGAACAGTTTTTGATGCATACAAAATTCTGCTTTTCTGAAGAAGTTTTCAGAGTGAGACCACATCCTGCCTCCCCCTTTCAACATCAAGCTTTCTGTACCTACTCATCACCCATTACAAACAAGGGATAAGGCAGATGACAAGTCTGCTCCCTTTTTCAGGGAGCTGCAGGCACTGCTGAATGTCTCAATATTCTTCTTACAAAAAAAATTGAGCCTCTGTACTGAGTCACAGGATTTCTGATGCAATAAAATGAAGAGACTAAAAAGCCTTGCTAAATATCATCATTAAGAAAAAGATATAGCCCTGTCTATGTACTCTTAAAATTTTTATTTAGACATTTAAAAAGTCCATTTTTGATCCACTACGAGAATGAACAAATTGGAGAAAAAAAACCCTCTACTTTTGCCCTCTGGATCTACAGATTCCCAAGAAGGCCTTGAAGAAATCCACCCAGTAAGTCACCCTTTCATTACCAAATAAAAACTTCACACAGAAACTAAGTAGCTGAAATGTTTCTCAAATGAGGGTCCTATCTAGATACCTGCAGACACTAGAAGGCCCCCAGAGGGGAAGAGAAGCACACTCTCCACGGGCTGCCCGTGTTCTATCGTCATGACGCTTTTTTTTATTCGTGCATCGAATACTTTCACAGTGTGGTCGTATGAACCTGTAATCAACACCAAAATTGTAAAAGTGAAATTATTTCAAAACCTGAAATGGGCACATGCTACCAGCTAAAAGAGCTCTTGACAAATAGAAACAATTTTAAACTATACACGTAAAACCTAATGTTTTGCCTGAGCTAATTTACAGTCTTCACAAAGTATATAGTTTTCATTTCCAGGCCTATCAACATGAAAGGCTTCAAACTTAATTTTCCTTAGATTACTCCAGGGTAAAAGTAACAGAAATCAGAAAATCTGATAAAACCTGGATCTTCTGCATCTAAAAATAAAGAATAGAGCGTACTAGACTTTTCATAGCAATTGGTAAGAAAACCAAAAGCAACTGCTTTCAAACAATACCTCACAGCACCTCATGACTCAGTTTTGAGATCACAAACTTGGCGCACAGAGTACAGTTTAATATGACTCCTTCTTCCAAAATGTGACAAAACATTTCTGTCAATGCCAGCTAAAAGATCTACTCACAGAAATTTCTTAAGCTTTCAAAGGCAAGTAGCCTTAACAGGCTAAAGCACAATGAAAGTGCATGTTAAAAGCAAGGTTGCTCCAGTCTCCTCACGAGTATCAGATTTAACCCATGCACAAAATTTAAAATAAATTATCAAACAGAAACCACCTTTCTGCATTTTTTTTCTGTTGGATCCAAAGACACATTTAAAAAACACTAACCTGTTACAAAGACATCTGCATTCAGTTTACTGGCGCAACCACATCGTACGTAATCCAAATGTTCATTGTATGACACAATTTCTGCAGCACTTGGAATATCCCACAAATTTGATGAATAATCATCACCACCAGAAAATATTCTATATTTATCAGACAGGAAGCCCACTGCATGAACAGCTCTAGAAAACAATCCACAATATCCAAAAGTTAAAATACATACTTGTTTCCAGAGCATTTATTTTTGACTGTAGAATTTATTAAAGGAAAATATTCCATCTGTTTTAGAAGTTAAAAATACTTTAGATTTTGTGTTTTCAGACAGAAAAAAAGCTCATGCTGACAGATACTGATCTAAGCACCAACAAGATCTGCTTTAAGGATTTTACAAGGCTACTCAATGCCTTTTTGAAAAGTATAAGTTATTTATTTCTTACTGAGGTATTTTCCTCTAAATTTGTAAGTATTACATTTTAACACTGATTTAGAAACTCGTCCTGCCCTCCAAAAATCACTATTCAAATCTACATTACCACTGCAACATCCCAACAAAGATTAACTTTGACAGAAAACATGTATACTCTAAAATTTATTTATAGCTAAACCAGTGGTCAAGACATAAGATAATGCTACATCACACACTTTCAGAGTTCTGCCTGTGCACCTTTTGAGCATTAAGGGGGTTTTGCTGTTGACAAATAAAACACATATAGTTTTCCACAACACAGCAATCTATGCAATCTTAATATTCCTAGGGTGTGTTCTCTGCAAAACTAATTTCAAACACTTTTTCTCACTGAAACATAAGAACCCTCCCACCCATTCCCTGTCCCACCCAGCCCCCTTTTTTAAAGTGATTTTTGCTCTACCTGGCATTTTTTTCCACCATTTTAAACTCATTTTTAGAGCTCAGTTTCTCCGAGCATCAAACAGAATTCATATCCCTATATATTGCAACTACAAAATTATAAACACACAAATATTAAGTACACCTGCTTCAATTAGAAAGTGTATTCATTCTTCCATCTACTTAATTTTTTTTTGAATTAGAAAAATATATACCAAATATATTCTGATGTTAACAGCCTAATTTTCAACAAAAATGTGAGACAGCTAGATATAACACAGATTAAATTTTAAAGATTTTCAGCAATACAGACATATAAAAGCACATGAGGAAGTATATACACACAAGGTAGAAAACAATATCATCTTACTTAGTATGACCATCAAACTGCCTCAGTGGTGCTCTTCCACTGATATCAAACAGTCGGATGCTACCTTCTTCACTGCCAGCAATAAGCAGCTTGCCATCATCTCTGTATGTGGCACAGTAGGCAGCATCTTTGAAGCGAGAAAAAGTTTTGATCGGTTCCTGAGAGTAACGACCGTAAATGTGGATCTAGCAAAACAAGAAGGCATTAAGTTTAGTTACACAACGCCAGCTGGCAAACAAAATAAGACCATTTATAGAACCTAAGAAGGCAAAAACCTTCCTAGAAAAACACTTACCCGTGAGGAGGCTGTGACAGCGTAGTTATATGGAGAAACTGGAGAGAAATCAATCTTGTTTATCGCACCAAACTCCTTTATCTGAACTGGTGTCTAAAAAAATTGCAATAGTTATCAAATATACAAAAGCACTACCAAAAATGAAAGCAGTAAAACTAAATCTATTATTCTTCCTACATAGTACTTCAAATTCAGGCCGGAACCTATTTACTCTTAAAATACAATCCTATGGAGTTTCTTTCTTGCTAACTTTTTACTGTTTTGCAGCCTACAGAAGCACGTTTAGTGTCTCTTTTTCATGCACTATGAACGATCAACTAACCACAAGAAACTGCTCCCCGGCCCGGCCGGCGGCGCCCGGGCCACCCCCCGGGACGGCAGAGCCGCCCGACGGCGCCGCTCCTCGCACCTTATAGCCGCGCCAGTAGAGTGTGTCC